TTGAAGCTTTTTCGTTTATGGACATAACGTCTGTAAAAACTGCCCAAACATTCTTTCTAGACGAACGCTTTTGGTCATTCTGTTAAATATTAGTAAGGATTTATTCTTTGTTTTCTTTTACCCGAAGGTGTAGAAAGCGTTCGTCTATACAGAAAATTCTGACAGTTTTTATAAACTTTACGTCCAGAAAAGCAAACACTTACACGAACACAGGAAATAATTTTCATTCGTCTGATGAAAATTACTGCCAACATATATATATATATATATATATATATATATATATATATATATATATATATATATATGCTTTAAAGCAGTAATCTATTTATATAAGTTTTTTCATATATATATATATATATATACCAAACATTACCTCAACATGGGATAGTCTATTTCAAGCCGTTCTGTACACGGCTATCATCAACCTATATATATATATATATATATATATATATATATATATATATATATATATATATATATATAAAGATATAGTGTGCGCGCGTGTGTGTCTGCCTATCTCTCTTACGTTAACAGACAATACATAAAATCTATATATTGAAACTAACTCTATATTTTGGTAAAGTACGATTTAAAAGATTCAAAAGTCAGAATTAAAAGCAAATCAGACGATTTATTTATTTTAATTTCTGGCCAGTCGATAACTTTCAGTTCGATGATACCTCTGTCTACTAAAGTCGTCTATCCATTTTCCGCTAATACACTGGCACATTTGTATATAGATAGATAGATACATAGATAGATGAATAAACAACTTGAGATAGATAAATAGATTGAATGAGGTTGAGATAGATAGATAGATAGATAGATAGATAGATAGATAGATAGATAGATAGATAAACAAATTGAGATAGATAAATACATTGAAAGAGGTTGAAATAGATAGATAGATAGATACACAGATAGATAGAATAGATAGACAGAATAGATAGATAAACAAATTGAGATAGATAAATACATTGAAAGAGGTTGAAATAGATAGATAGATAGATAGATAGATAGATAGATAGATAAACAAATTGAGATAGAGATATATGAATAGGCACATATATATAGAGATAGATATGAATAAGTATATATATATATATATTTCGAGAGAGAGAGAGAGAGAGAGAGAGAGCTACAGACAGAAGTAGATAAATAGATAGAAACAGACACACACACATATATATATATGTATATATATATATATATAGGGAGAGAGAGAGTGGGGGAGAGAGATATTAACTAAATTTGCAATATATCTGAATAAGCACATACGCATGTCTTTCGCCGTCGCTCTCTCTATACAGATGTCTCTGATTATCTAGCTATATTTTTCAGCGCAAGAGATGTAGAGAGAGAGAGAGAGAGAGAGAGAGAGAGCAAGAGAGTGTAAAAGGGCGACAGAACGAAGGACAATGAGAAAGCGATAGATTACGAAGAACAGAGAAATGGTCAGAGAGAGAGAGAGAGAGAGAGAGAGAGAGAGAGAGAGAGAGAGTAGCGAGAAAGAAAGAGAGAGAGAAAATGACAGAGTGGAGGAGAGAGCATAATGATGCGCACTTGGGTACCTGAACCGACTTATTAATCCTAATCTAGTTTTACTCTTGTTAATGTTTTCATTCGTTACATATCTAATGAAGATCTACCAGGTAAGAAACTATGAGACCAAGTACGACTCGACGGTAAAACGTCTACATATCTACACTGAATAATATATATATATATATATATATATATATATACATTTATATTTATATATATATATATATGTACGTATTGTCTTAGAAAAATGATGAACACAACAATTTTTGTCTTATGACAAAAAAAGTAAAACCCTGATGATGACATTGTGTTAAAGTCGAAAGTACTCGGAATAAATGAATATATATCAACATGTTAATTTCTCTTTCCTTTAATAAGTATACTAAGAAGCTTGTCTGTGAATATGCGATGATCTTATTGAAAATAGTAGACAAAACTTGTCTAAAATATTCAATTAAACATGTCTTAATGAAAACATGCTGCCAAAATATACATAATATATATATATGTATATATATATATATATATATATATATATATATATATATATATATATATATATATATTAGTAATAGTAGTAGTAGTAGTAGAAACGTTATTTTTGGTGTGTATACGTGTGTGAGTAGATAGCACAGTTTTAGTTTTATTTTCTTAAGCCGTGAAATTAATATCAACCGGCCTAGAGCGAGAAGTACTGCTATTTCATTGTTTAAGAAAATAAAATGAGATGAGAACACTATTTACATTATTCGGATTAATGTCCTCATCTTTGTTAGCATATTTATCACAACGTTTCGGCCGGTGTACGCTCCGGCCTTCTTCAAGTGGTTGGAATGTGGAACTGAACCCTTTATTTCGCTCGCTGAGGTAGACTGTTCTAGTTCCACGTGCCATGTTTTAAAGATGTCAGTTATCCGTTATCTCCTGTTAATTCCCTTCTCCAAGTTCT